TCCATTCTGATGGGTATGAGGGTCTGAGGCTCTGAGAAGCAGCAGAGCAGCTCCTGGCAGCTGCTGAGCTGCATCTCACTCTCCCAGCGCAGTGGTCATGGCTCTCCTCCATCCTCCCCCCTCCTTGCTCTTTCTTTGGCCACATCCACCTAGCAGCTTCATGGTGATGACTGGCTCAAAGACAGAAAAAAATAAGCAGAGGAGGCTATTAATTAAAGTAATCTATTAATATTGACACATCTACTCAAATATTATCCACATTTTTCAAAGATTTTGCCCTCAGAAAGAATACAGGCAACAGAACCTGACCCATTTTCCTTCACATGTGAAGCCATGCTGCCTGGCCTCCAACTAATGGTCCAGAAAGTGTCCCATCAACCTCTAGTCATACCTGCCAGTTCCAAAGGTATGTCAATCACCACAGAGAATCAGAAAGAGCACAGAGTAGCCATATGTGGGCAAATGAATTGAGGGTGATCAAAAGAGTGATTCTGATCAACTAAAGACTCATTTCTTCTGCATAAACCTAGGCATTTGGATTCACTTGGGGTGTCTTTGAGTATCCTGCCTGGCCTTCTACTACAAGTCCAGAAAAGTATGAGTCTCCCGTAGATCCTGAGTCAGATCTAAGATGTCTTGTATGTGCAGATGTCTTGTATGGTGTAAGGCATCTTGAAAAGTGCCATGTACCTGTGGGAGAGTAACTGAATTGTGTCCTATAGTCTGTTCAGCTGAGTTGTTTTCAAGGCTCCATTGACTAGATCTCCATGGAGTATGAAAGGACCTTAGGCGTGTAATTTTCCTACAGACATCTGCATTTAGCTATCTTAATGATGAACTGAATGATATATCTATATATGCCTGTAAAATAATTTCAGTTTATATGTAATCAAGTGCAAAAATTAACACTAATAATTACTATATTAGACAGACTTGTCTGCAAAATAACTGTCCTCTGAGCTGACGTGAATCATCCTGTAGGACAAGCCTGCTTTCCCATTCACTGTTATATCATTTGGTTTTTGTTCTACACATTCAACCCTCCCACACTGATGGTGTATCCTATTAAACACCTATTGAATTCAAAATCAGTGCAGACTTGCTGGGGTGTCTGAGGACTTCCCATGCAAAATTAGTCTCACACAACCCCATTTTAATGCTGAATTTCACCTAGAGACTGTCCTGGGAGCTGAATGTACATGTTCTGAGTTGAATTTGCCTCAGTGCAATTGAGAACAGAGCCTGAGGAAAGGAGTACAGCTTCATACAACTGGTTGTAACATGGGTGGTGAAGGAGGAGAGCAGTACCTGTTCACCTCTGTTCCTTAGTAATTCTGTACTGGCTTCTGCCCTGATAGGTTGTCAGAATGAAGAGCAAATATTCTTTGATTTGGTGTGGAAAGTCCAGTGTTTTTCTGCCATCTCAAGGTGTAAACAGACTTTCATCCACGACTAGACAATTACAGCAGAAGGGAGCTCCTAAACCCCTCAAGTGGCAGAATGTGCCTACTATACTAATGCCAAAACCAGAAAAGAAGAGCAGACAGCAAGGAATTGCAGATATTTGTTGTAGGCATGGATTAATTAACACTGTTAGAACAAAACACGTAATTGAAATGCAACAGCGTGTTAAACTTCAGCTGGAATGTCTAAGGGTAAGAAGTCAGCAGTGGAATTATAAATAGAAATTTAGAGTC